AAACATTATGCTTTTACACAGCATTACATCTGCTTTGAAATACACATAACACTGATTTTTTTTTCTTTTATCTGGTATTTTCACTCTCCTCTTACCAAACTTGTTTTCAAGATGTAAATTTACAGGGGATGCTTAGATAGTTTAATTGAACATCAAGGGTAATAATCTAGCACACTGTAACTATTCAAAAGTTTTGTAGTCATAATTATGTCTGTAATGGTCTAAAATCTTCAAATACTATATTAAATTATACTATTAAATATACACAAAATAGGAACGGGTTTTTCAATTAGTAGATATAAAAGCATTAGACTTAATATATGAAGATAATTTTATCATCTTGCTCACAAGGTAATCACTTCTACTTCCAAGATGGTTATTACACATAGGATCAGAATCAGAAATACTTATTTTCAGCCCTCATATATATTCCCTTATTTGAAAATGTTAATGACCTTCTATTGCACAAATGACAGTTTTGTTTCTTCCCTTTATGTCTTTTAAATTTACAGATCCTTGACTTGACTTTTAGAATAGCTCTAGTGATCATCATAGACCTGAAATTTATTTGTAAACTCTCAAGTGTAAAACTGGGCAGAATTCATGTTGTTCTTAACATGAGATCAAGCCAAAACTGAAGGAAAAACTAAAGAATTTTAATGTAACTCATCCAAACTAAATTTCCATATGTCAAACTTTAATCAGCAATGACTTTTACTGCTGTTTCAATGCCTTCTATTTTTACTAATTATTCTTTTGAGGTTGAATCAGTGAAATGTGCTGAACGTGTGGACTGCAAGCAACTGGATTTTTCACATAGGAAGCACAAACTCACATCTTCTCCCTCTCCTTATGCTGCCTTCATTTAACATTCTGAAGGATGATTACTGGAGTTCAAGGATCATATTTAGCTCTGTTTTAATAAAGAAGAAAAAAATACTTGTCTCATGACTAGGATAACCAAAAACTATCTGGCTAATTGGGCAACTCCCAAGTTAGTAGGAACTCCTCCTAAGACTTATCTTCTCTTCTGCAGGGAACAGAACAGGTGCAGGCTAGGGTACATTTACCTTGTTACGCAGGTAATGATAATATTGTCTAAAGAAAACTGGAAGAATGGTAAAATAAGAACAATATCTTTATATGTATTAAGAGTTAAACAGGCTATACATTTTCAGTTAAAAGTTTGCTTAGCATTTTTTACACTAATCTGTAATAGAAACACAAAAATTCAATGGGAACATGAAACCAAGAAAATAAAATCATGGAAAAAAAAGGTCATTTGTAAACTAGAACCAATTTCTGATACTATATCCAAATACAAATCTTGTATATTATACATGAGATTAAAAAAAAAGATGATCACATATTTTGGCCTAAAATTATGTTTTACGTGACACATTTCACTTCTCATTAAGAAACATCTGGTATAGAGGATACAGGGCTTCTTTCTGTATCTCTTCTTTCTTTATTTTTGTCTTTTTCTTAGCCTCACCAATCAAATTTCATTCCCTAAGAGCCATGTTACACATGTCCTCATCAATGACCCTCTCCTTAACAACTGGAATGAACCTGTCCTTCTATGTGCCCCAGCATTTTATATTCACATTACCATCTCCAGACATCATTCTAAAAAACCTTCAGATAAAATAAAATCCTCACGACCTTCTATAGTACGAGTTTAAAAAATAAGTCACAGAAATCTGACATCAAGACTTCCTCTGGAATTTAATGGAGAATATGTCATGCAGACAATAAAAAGGAAGATTGGACATAGCTGCTGGAGTGTTTTGCTGAGAGTCTCATAGGTTACAATTACTTTCCTCTTTTTAACAAGTTCTGTTTTGGGTACCTTCTTCTTCCCCGTTATCACATACCATCTGGTAAACATAGCAGCTGAAGACCCTGTTAGGCTTCTGTTCTATGTGTAGCACCAAATCTCTGTCAAAGTAGACTTCATGGCTATATGTCTGGAACAAAAACACAATCATACAGAATCTCCTTTTCATATAACCCTAATCCCCACTGCATCACTAAAATGTCATACAGTTACAGTAGAGATCTTCAAATATTCATTTACAGGCAAGATAATTGCCAAGAATAGCTTTATTTTTCATGATTTGTGGAAATAATAAAAAGAGACATGTATACAAAACATAGAAAATGATAAAAAGAGCCCTAGACACAGGAATCTGGAACCCAAATTCTATTGCCAACACTGCTGTATCTACCTATACATTGTTAAATCCCTCAGGTTCTGCACTGCTAAAACAAGGCCTGCATAAAGTATTATCTGTTCGTTATAATTTTTATTATATTCTACAACAGTTTTCAAGAGTACTTGAAAGTCCTACAAGCTTAGATATCGTCTCTCTAAGATAACTGTGTAGATTCATTACAGTGCACTTTAATTTTTTTAAGATGCTCTCAAACTTATGGTTAGGAGAAAATCAAAGACTCTGGTTAGGAAATGGCATGTCACAGAAACAAACAAACAAAAAAACAAACAAGCAAAACAAAAACACAAAGTCTTATCTTTAAGGCCACTGGTAAAGAGGCATCCCCAAGTACTGAGGAAAAGGTGGCTTCAGATGGACTCATTTTTCCTGGTTATAGGAAATGACTTCTCTCATGTGGTCACTGGCATAGGTGATTCTGGACTGACATGAACACAGTAACATCTACTCCAATGAACAGCACCTACAGAGATAACTCTTCCAACTTTGTGTTCCATGGACTCTACTTACCACATCCCATGACTCCACTAGTGGAATGCTTTTAAGTAAAGTTCCATATTCATTACAGTGGAAATCCAGGTGTGCCTTTCCTTCGGCATCTATCTGAGTAACAGCTACCACAGAAAGCAAATCCAACTCATCTTCATAGTCCACAATTTTGAAAGTCTTGGGGGAGAGATGAATAAAGCAGAAGAAAGGAAAGTCAATATCCAGTTAGGACTAGCCCTGCATGTATAGTTGAACTAGGTTATTATTTACGAAGATGTAGTAGGAGAAAAAAGAACAAATGGTGGAAAAATAGGTAGAAGTATGTCTCTACTTACATGTTTGATAAAACTTCAGCCCCGAGATTTGTAAGAGTGAAGCAGTATCCTAAAGATTTCAACAAACAGAATCATCTGTTTGTAGATCTCAGTTTTAAGTATAACTGAAATTTTCAACAATGATACCAAACCAGAGATGCTCTAATTTCAAAAGAGTTATTCACCTAATGCCTCTAACATGTGTACTCACTGAATCCCAGATAGGATTAAATATATAACACTCAGTTCTGAAACCCCAAAACTGCTCTGTAAGTTCTGAAGATTCTTACATTAGAAAAAGTCCTTCTAAGAAGAACTGATAGCTCATCACATAGTATTTATGACTCTTAGCTGTCCTCTTTGTTTTTTTTTTTTTGAAAATCTTGTTTGGTACCCTCAAGAGAGCAAAAATGACTGTTTAAACTTGAGGGAGAATATGAGGAACAGAAACCCAACCCAGAGAATAGAATGGGGACAAGAGAGGTTAGGTAGAAGTGATTAATGATGGTGAAAGAAAGAAAAAACTTAACTCAAGAATTCTGTCTCAAGGAATAAAAACCTGGACTTCCAACAGTCTCAAAGGGAAAGAAGGTCAGTAACAGTCATTCAAGAATGAACCACAGGAAGAAATATCTTGGCTGAGTGCCTGGTATCAACCTTACCAACAGGCATAGCAAGTTTCTTAATCACAACGTATGAATTCTTTTTACATTTGGGCAAACCATTCTTTAATTCATTTCTGTTTTCTGTCTGTATCACTTTATGACATAAATATTTACATGGATCTATTACCTGTGGTTTCATTTTATTTACTTTTCTGCCTTAATCTTAACAATGGTCAAACTTCAAAGGGTGACTTTTTGGGTGAGTGTTAATGACTATATAGATTTAATCACAACCTCTTTCATTTCTTTTCCTTTACAGTTTAAATAAAATAAAGTTTTGTTGTGTAATCTCATGATGTACAGAATCTACTTTTTTGTTACCATCTCCCCACCCTTTAATTACTCATGCTGACATTTGGTATTTGTAGTATGTCTTTCTTAAAAATAGTTTTATATAGAAGACAGGGAGCTTTCTGCTTTGTTCTCAACAGGGTTTTGTAGTCCAAAAGAATATTTACTTTTCTTTTCTGAGAAGAGCCACATACTGGGCTAACTCCAACCTATTTTATTATTTATTTATTTATTTTGGGACAGATGTTTTGCTATAGGGTGCATGTGCTCACTGGAGAGACAGAGAAAGACAGAGACAGAAAGTGAAAAATCACCTCCCCAGGGGAGATGGCCATACTGCAATCCCTTCTCCATTCTCCTCTAGGGATTTTGGGCACACAAGGATACAAACCTGGTATGAGTTTTAAGCCACCAGGACTGACCTCAAACTGGGTCAACTACATGGGAGTCCAGTGATGTAAGATGAATATGCCATCTGCTGGTCCTCCTTCAATCTAGTTAAAAGATTTTTAAAAATTGACCTTGGAGGGGCCAGCAGGTGGTATGGTAGTTAAAATGCTGAATTCCCACATGGGCAGTCATGGACCTGGTGGCTTGAAACTCACACCAGGTACATGTTTGTGCATGCCCAAAATCCCGGGAGGAGAGTAGAAGAGAAGAGATTGCAGCATGACTATGCCCCCTGAGGGGGTGAGTTCTCACTTTCTCTCTTACTGTCTCCCTCTCTTCATTTCTCTGGTGAGCACACTCACTAGAGTCAAAAACAAAACAAAAACAAACAAAAAAACTGACACAGTGAGGCTACTCAAATTCTACCTGGAGATGGTCACAGAAACAACATAGTTATATAGCCTAAATAAATTTAGTATTATGAAACAATCATACATTTGAAGCATGATAACTGTTGATTTTGTAAGTGCTTCCAATGTCTCTTTAAAGGACTGAGTTAAAAATCTATTGGCTCAGTAACTGGTAATGTCATGATGAGGTCTAATTTGCCATATCCTCACCCCCTCTTCCTCTGTCCACAAACACAAGCAAATATATCATGTCTAGTAAGGAAAAAATAAGACAAAAGCAATAAAGTCATCAGAATATAACTCAAAAATTGTCTATTAGATTTCCCTAGAAATGTGCATATCAACAAATAAGCTAACAGTGTTGTCAAATTATTTCAGTTCTATGAACTTTTCTGCAATCAAAATCTTACGAATAATTTCACTAAGAAAAGAGAGGATGCTGGGGCTGTACTGGGTGAAATACCAGGCATAATCCTACCCACTCGGTCTGCATAGAACCCCTCATCGCCAACCTCTACTGTAAGGTCCAGGGAGCATTAATTTGAAATTTACAGTGCAAGTATGTAATTGATTTGATTAGTTATCTCTGGGTAAAATAATACCTCTTGTTCTGGGTCGTCATCCAAGAGAGTAAATTTTTTTTTTACCACCCGTCCAGAAGCTGTAACAGTGAGTAAATTTTCATTCTATCATGTGGAAAGAAATCAAAAGATATGATTAAATTCTACTATATGCAGTCAAAGACAAAATTATGTTAACAAATTTGGTAAAATTAACCAACCTTTCTTTAAAATATGGAATTCTCTCCTCAAATGAGAAAATTCTGAGTCAGACTTCTGATCCTTCAGTTAGTAAAAGAATTTTAATGTAGTTTTTAATGGATAAAATACTAGAATAGGCAAGAATAAGCAAACTAATTAAAAAGTCACAGATTTGTTGCTGTGTTCACCTTTCTAACTTTTGCCTTAGTATATTATAGCAAATTTAAAAAATGGATCTGCCTTTAGAAATTTCTCTTCTCATTAGTTTTATGTTTTTAATTCATACATTAAAGAAAAAGGACCATCTAGAGTTAAAATATGGTAATTTTTGAGATATATATATCTTGCATGTTTGCATAGTTAGACCCAAGGTTGATAATTCATCAATAAAAACTTTAAAAGTCTACAAAGTAAACAGAAATAAGTGAAAGGTAAACGCAATATAATTAACTCTCTTCAAATTTCTTATGTACAAGGAACAAAGACTAGCTACCTATGTAGATAAAATGAACCATCTTTTGTAGGGCTGTGCTATTGTTTTCAGCCACATTCAAAGGCAAACACATTTGTATATTATTGGGTCATTACAAAAGTTATGATGCATTTTTGTATTAAAATACAGAAAAATATGTCAACCTAATATATTCTTATACCAAGAGGCAATGACAAAGGATTTGAAAGTACTTCTGAATGGGACCAGCACATGGTGTGGTGGCTAAGGCACTGACGGTTTGAGTTCCAGACGCAGCGGCTTGTAAAACCATGCCAGGCGTGTGTGTGTGTGTGCCCAAGATTCCAACAGGAGAATGGAGAAGGGACTGTGGTGTGGCCATCCCTTTTGGAGGATGATTTCTCACTTGCCCTCTCTATCTGTCTCCAGAGAGGACACGTGCCCATTAGCAAAGACAAATTAAAAAAAAACAAAAGTATTTTTGACTTACTTTGTTCTTCTCCCTATTGGCCAAAATGACAAAATCTTCAGAGATCTGATGCTGGGAACTATTATTTTCTATTTCATTTAGCTTTAAAACTCTGAAAAGGAAAAAAAAAAGATTCTAAAACCTGTCCTCAAAATACAAAGTGCCAAAGCTGAACTAAAGAATAAAACTAAACAAATGAAAATTATAATAACAGCACTGAGTTAGTTTGCCCCCCCCCATTTAGTCTACAATGCTAATAACTGATAAAATGTCCATAAACTCCTTCAGTTCAGAGATTTTGTTAAACAGGAAAACATAGTAACCATGACAACAGGTGCTACTGAAGTAAGTACTGAAGCTGCTTGCTCAGGCCTAAGTCATCTTCTAATCTGGCTTCCAAACAATTACATAAGAGAGACTGAATCAGCAACTAAATGTAAACTGACAGTTTTCATGAGAGTGTAATACTTACAAACTGCAACCAACTTAATACTTTTCTGTTTTCTCAAGATTAGTTGTATTTAAAGATTTGGGTTTTTTGAGTACAAATAACTCATGCATCAAGTTTATTAAGGATGAAAAAATAAAGCAACTTGCTCAGAGATCTGTTTACATTATCAAAAATCTTCAAAGGCACAATGTTCTCAAAGCTCAAAGTCTCAAATGCAGGCAGAGAACAGCAGGGAGAAGCAACTACTGTAGCCTGGGAGAGTCTGAAGTCTTAGAGTTGCCAGAGACAAAGAAATCAGTTAACACTTAAAATTACTCAATTAGTAATCTTAATTAGTGCCAAGATGTAAAAATGTCTATTTAAAAAACCTGACAACAGGGTACACAGTCCTTACGGACCTTAGTTTTTTAAAACTCAAACTAATGTTTGAGTGGTAACAAATACTAAAAAGGTGGGCGGTAACAACCATTAAAGTAAGGTTTATTGAAGCTGAACCACAGTTTAAGATGCTCTGTAAAAGTTCATAACGCTATTTCATTAAATGCTTTCATTCTCCTTTCATAACCCTATTTCATTAAATCCTGTCACACTCCTACATCCAGAAAGACATTAATTATCATGAAACATAAAGAATAAGGAAGGTGGGACAGCAGGTGGTGGGGTGGTTAAAGTGCCGAATTCCCATAAGGCAGGTTGGTGTCTTAGTCCCAGACCTGGTAGTTTGAAGATCACAACAAACAAACATACAAATAAATGTTAAAAATAAAAAAGGCAGCCATTGCCATTTTTATTCAATGAATGCTTACTGAACATCTACCCTGTGAGAAGGAGTGTGCTCACTGTCAGGGTTATAAATGTGAGCAAACAGACTTTCCCTGACAATACGGAGGTTATGATACCAAAGCTAAATATTTAAACAAATAATCACACAAACAGTTCATGAAAATGCTCTAAGTGCTACAGAGGAAGATTAAACAGCAGGTTTAATAAAAATATGTTAGAGTGCTAATATGGGGTATTAAGGCAGGTTTCTGTGAAAAAGTGACATTTAAACTGGGCCAGTAAATATGAATAGAAATTAGAAAGGAGAACAGGTAGGGAAAACAGACTCTACAAGGAACAGCTCTTCAGCTTTCTGAATACACAGCATGGATGAAGTAAAACATGTAGGAAGAAGGACTTTCAGGCCATGCTAACTATGTAGGTTTTTACCCTAAGAACAACATGAAGTCATAAAAGGGTTAAAAGTAGTAGAATTCACTTGATTAGATTTTTGGTTTTGTTCACATTTTTATTTTTAATTATTATTATTATTAGAGGCAGACTCTTGCTATTTTGCCCAGGCTGGCCTCGAACTTGTGATTTTACTGCCTCAACCTCTTGAACAGCTGGTATTACAGCCATGTACTACTGTGCCTGGCTATTCGTGTTTTTAAAAATCACTCTAGCTGGATATTGAACTAGAGTTGGAAGAGATGATTCCGGTCTCAAAACAGCCACCCAGTCACCCTCAGCCCGACTCCAGCCAGCTGTCACCATTGCCACCACTGGAGGGAGGAGGGTCATGATCCAAAGGAACCGAAGCGGTTGAGAAAACTGTTTACTGGTGGTCTGAGCTTTGGAACTACAGGTGATAGTTTAAGAGAATATTCTGAGAAATGAGGGACACTCAGATTGTGTGGTAATAAGAGAGACTTGAACAAAATGTTCCAGGGGCTTTGGTTTCGTAACTTAGCATTAAAGAGGTAGATGCAGCAATGTGTGCTCGGCCACACAAAATTGATGGACGTGTAGTGGAACCAATGAGAGCTGCTACTAGAGAGAATTCTGTAAAGCCTGGTACCGAACAATGAAGAGAATTTTTGTTGGTGATATTAAAGAAGATACAGAAGAATATGATGTGAGAGACTACTTTGAAAAGTTTGGCAAGTTTGAAACCACAGAAGTTATGAAAGAAGACAGAGTGGGAAAAAGAGAGGATTTGCTTTTGTAACTTTTGATGATCATGATAGAGTTGATAAAATGGTTGTTCAGAAATACCACACTGTTCATGGGCATAACTGTGAAGTGAAAAAGGCACATTCTAAACAAGAGATGCAGTCTGCTGGATCACAAAGAGGTCATGGAGGTGGGTCTGGCAACTACATGGATCATCGAGGGAACTCTGCAGGTGGTGGAGGTAATTTTGGTCGTGGCTGACACTTTGATGGAAGAGGAGGCTATGGTGTAGAGGTGGTGGCAGCACAGGTAGTTATGGAGGTGATGGTGGTAACTATGTTGGTGGTCCTGGTTATAGTAGCAGAGGTAGATATGGTGGTGGTGGACTAGGACATGGTGGAGGATATGGTAGCAGTAGTGGAGATATGATGGTTACAATGAAAGAGGAAATTTTGGCGGTGGTAGGCACAGTGGTGGTGGGAACTATAATGCTTTTGGAAATTATAGTGGACAACAGCAATCATATTATGGACAAGTGAAAGGAGGCAGTTTTGGTGGGAGAAGCTCCAGCAGTCCTCATGGTGGTAGCTATGGATCTGGTGGTAGACGTGGTGGATACGGTAGCAAGAGGTTCTGAAAACAGCAGAAAAGGACTATAGTTCTTAGCAGGAGAGAAATCAAGGAGTTGTCAAGAAAGCTGCAGGTTACTTTGAGACAGTCATCCCAAATGCATTAGAGGAACTATGAAAATCTGCCTCAAAAGGAATGATGATCCATAGAGAAGTTACTGCAGCTTCAATAGGAAACCCTTATTCAGGACTGTCATAGCCACAGTTTGCAAAAAGTACAACTACTGATTAATGCAATGTAGTATCTATTAGATGTACATCCCTGAGGTCTTTTATCTGTTGTAGCTTTTTCTTTTTCTTTTCATTACATCAGGTATGTTGCCCTCTAAATTGTGGTAGTGGTAGCAGGAATAAAAAAAATAAGGAATTTTTAACTTAAAAAAAAAAAATCACTCTAGCTGCTGAGAAGCAAACAAACATAGGAAGAGCAAGAGTGAATTCTTTTTTTTTTTTTTTAGAGATTTTCACTATAGGATGCGTGCGCTCGCCAGACAGACAGAGAGAGACATAAAGACAGAAAGCGAGAAATCCCCCCCCAGGGGGGATGGCCATGCCGCAATTCCCTTCTCCTCCATTCTCCTCTTGGGATCTTGGGCATGCAAGCACACACGCCTGGCGTGAGTTTTAAGCCACCGGGTCCAGGACTCAAACCGTGGTCGACTACATGGGAGTCCAGCAACATAGCCATTACGCTAACTGCTGGTCCCGCAAGAGTGAATTCTGAGAGCACTGTAAGTAGGCTATCATTTTTTTTTTTTTTTGAGAGATTTTCACTATAGGGTGCGTGCGCTCGCCAGACAGACAGAGAGAGACATAAAGACAGAAAGCGAGAAATCACCCCCCAGGGGGGATGGCCATGCCACAATTCCCTTCTCCTCCATTCTCCTCTTGGGATCTTGGGCATGCAAGCACACACGCCTGGCGTGAGTTTTAAGCCACCGGGTCCGGGACGCGAACCGTGGTCGACTACATGGGAGTCCAGCGACATAGCCATTACGCTAACTGCTGGTTCCCAGTAGGCTATCATTTTAAGCCGGGCTAGAGATAACAGTGGCCAAGGGCAGAACTAGGCAGACTTAAGAAATATTTAGTAGAAAAATAAACTATACTGATAGGAAATAGGGTAGATATGAGGGGACTTCAAAAAGTTAACGGAGGGACTAGCAGGTGGCATAATGGTTATGTTGCTGGACTTCCATGTAGTCAACTGCAGTTCAAGTCAAGAACCAGCAGCTTAAAACTCACAAGGACATGTGTACGTGCATGCCCAAGATCCCAAGAGGAGAATGGAGGAGATGGGATTATGGTGTCACCATTCCCCCTGGGGGGTGATTTCTTGCTTTCTGCCTCTCCGTCTCTCTCAATCTCTCTGGCAAGTGCATGCACCCTATAGCAAAAATCTCTCTAAAAAAAGTTAATGGAAACATGAGATTTAAGCACAAGTGTATTTTGCTGTAAAACTTTCTAATTTCATGCATAGTTTTTTGGTAATATGCATTCTAGACCCACTTTTTGAAGACTCCTTCCCAATGTGCAAGTATGTGACAGAGGATGTATGCACACACACAAAAAGTAATGCACATGCATGTTAAAAGATATGTATACTTATGAAAGACAAGTACATGAGCTATTAAGAATGACTCCAGATTTCTACCACGAGCTTAAATGAGAGGTTTGGGCTAGGATATACATTTTGAAGTTTTGGTATACATATGATATTTGAAGACAACAGAATAAATAGAGTTATGCAGAAAAGGAATGTTGAGTAAGAGGTTATTCAACAATTAAAGTTGGGGTAGAGGAGTTAAGAGCAAGAAATTGTAAAAAAAAAAAAAAAAAAAAAGACAGATGAGACAGGAGGAAGTATATTCAGGGAAGCCAAATGAAGAGTATTTCTAGAAAGGAGAGGTCCACTGGGTAAATGTGGGTGTCCTGAGAGCAAACAAAGTAAAATGGGTTATTTCAAACAATCTGCTACCTTTCCTATTTAAGGCTGTCTTTCAGAACAGGGACAGATCTTCTCTCTCTAATCCCAAAGAATTCACTAGGACCTGATGAGGAAGGGCTAATCTGTAATTCCCTCTCCCTCACACGTTATCCCTCAAGAATTTACTTGAATGTACTCAAATTCACAAACAGTAATGAAGAAGCTGAAAGAATAAAGTCAGGTTTTCTAAATGTGAGTATCTGAGGAAGTACCTTACAATAAGCTAATTGTTCCCATACTTGGTCAATAGTTACATGGCAAAAATAAGATGCCAATAAGTGCTACCAAAAGCTACTTTTGACTTTAAAGTAACTAATAAAAATACTCACTTGACCTGATTTGGGCCAACATGTATTATTCTACCAGAAGAATCAGGATGAAAATAGATCCAGTCAGATTCTAGAGAACAACAATCCATTTCTTGGATCCCATTTTTTGCCTGAAGTTGGAATAAATATTGGAAACAAAGATTAAGGGAAAAATCAAATAATTTCACAAATCTGACACCATTTCCAAATTTAATATCTATAAGTCAAAGTACAGGGAAGAGAAAGGCTCAAGCTGCTGAACTGAACAGAGATATACATGAGGGCTGAATTAGGCCATTTGAGAATACAGAACATTTAAATTCAGAAATTCATAGATTTACCCTATTCTATACATTGTATCTCACGAATATTATGCCATGATGTTACTATATCTCCAGCACCTACTTTGTGTCGGAGACTGCATTAGATGTACTGTAGTCACTACTTCATTTGCCCTAAAATAATGCTCAAAGCAGGAAACCCACACATGAAGAAAACAGTAAGTGATTTGTACCTACTGCACTAACGCTGTGCCCCTAACTAAATAGCAGATCTGACTCCAAATTCTGTGGACTTTCTATTACATAACCACCATAGTGATGGACTTGCAATTTCCCATAATGCTGTCCTCCCTTTCCTATTCCCAATCACCCTATGACCCAAAAATAAACATGTAACCAAACCTAAAGACTCAGACAGGGGCTATATAATCTCCTTAGATGATTCAAATATTAAACTCTAATGTCTGAGGAAATGAGGTAATACTGACAAGCATTCAAAGCAAGAAGAGAGAGATATTTCACTGTAGCATATATAGACATTACAATAGGAAAAAGATAGTTCTAGAATATGTAGTCATTGGTTTATAGAAATAGTTTACTTCACACACAGGAACACTGGGAACCAACACCAGTGGATATGTTAACTTCATTGGATTTAGCCAGTCATTTAATTTCTTTAATTTCTTCAATGTAAAATAAAATGAGACTATCTTTCCTATTATATACTCAACAAAAGTTTTGAAATAATAAAGCTTATTAATTCCATTCTTATATAGGGGATGTCAACAAGTTCATGAAAATGAAATTAAATGTAAATTTATTTTGATACAAAAAAGTTCTGAAACCTATGCATAGTATATAAGCAATTTCCCCTTTCCATGAACTTTTTGATAGCCTGCTGTATACTGACCATACTCTGGGTATCACATTAAGCAATCACACCTGAGAAGAATTATACATAATTTGTACCATCAAGAAGCTCATAGTCTAGGGGGAGCAGAAGCATAAACAGAAAATAGTAAGGTAGTGTACAAAACAAAGATTGAGACATGCACAGGATAGTGTCAGGCACCCAGCAGAATTTCAGGATGGAAAAAAGCTTGAACTAAGTCTTAATGGATAAGCAGAAAATAGTTAATCAATAGAAAATAGAGATGGCAAAATCAAAAGGTTAGAAATATTAATCCACATGACATGTGTGTAAATAAATATGAGTGGCAGTCACAATTAAATTGAGAAGTACAGTGCCTAGCCATGTGAGCCTGGAGAGGTAGGCTGGAACTATCATAAATGCTTTATTGGTCATGATTTTTTAAAAAAAATATTTATTTAATTTTATTTATTCATTCATTTTATCTTTTAATTTGACCAGAAAGACACACAGAGAGAGAGAGAGAGATTGAGAGAGGGAAAGTGAGAAAGCTAGTCACCAGGTCCAAGATTCAAACCATGGTTGGCCATGTGGGAGTCCAGCGCCTTTATCCACCACACCACCTGTCGGCCCCTATTGGTCATGATTTTTAAAAATTTGGAATTAAATACAAATATATATCAAACTAGTGAATAAGTTTCAATTTTTCAAGGATTTTTATAAGTATCCTAATTAATTCTAAGAGGAATGGTAGTACTCTTACATTGTACATGTAAGAAAATTAATACAATTAAACATTTTGATTGTAACCATTGAAATTAGAGTGTCAATGATGGCATTAGCTCCAGATGGTCCTTTGTTTAATATAAAACATGTGCATATCATAGTTATCTTTCTTTAGGAGACTATTATTTTCCTTATAATATCAAGTCAATAATACCTAGAAAAAATTATCTTTCTTTGCACTAAATACTAGGCAGCATTAAAACCAGCTCCTATAGTTTTTATTATTTGTTCAAATGCTAGATTTTAAAGCTCAGTTTATTTGATAGAGAAAGCTATGAAATATTTTCTGAAATGCTAAGTTTGGTCACTTATGGGGTTATCCACTCTTCTGTCTGACAGGCAGGGAGGTAACGCGCATAAGCATCATTACAAGGCAATGTCACTGCAATTAAGCTATCCAGCAAAAAGACGGAAAACTACCTTGGGATTTGGCAATTATTTATGAATATGCTGAAATACAGATTTTAGCATAAATGTTATAATCAGTTATAATAAAAGGAGAGTACACAATAGGTGTGCTTGAAATAGATGTTGAAGGCTACTTTATACATACATACACATATATGTTGTTTCATATGTATTACAAAACACACATGTGTGTGCTATTAGTTCTTTTATAAGAAGAATATGTGTTAAATGTCCAGAATGTAAACCGTGCAAAGGATGACTAGATGCAAAAGTGAAAAAATGAATGTGACAGCCTGGTGGGTTGAAGGATGTAGCTAGAAGGTGAACAATCAAACCAAGACCTGTCACAGAAAGAAACAGTCCCCAGACAGTCTATTGTAAAAATGGATGTTGGGACCAGCAGATGGAGTAATGGTTATGTTGCTGGACGCTCATGTAGTCAACTGTGGTTCGAGTCCTGGACCTGGTGACTTATAACTCATGCTGGGCACATATGCGTGCGTGCCCAAGATCCCAAGAGGAGAACGGAGGAGAAGGGACTGTGGTGTGGCCATCCCCCCGTGGGGTGATTTCTTGCTTTCTGTCTCTTTGTCTCTGTCTCCCTAGCATGTGCGCTAGTCCTATAGCAAAAATGTCTCTTAAAACAAGGAAAAAAAAAGGATGTCACAGGACTAGGCCAAATAAGAGCTGCCACATGTGACAGGTAAATGAGAAAATGTAACAATGATCCTTCAAAAGAAAATAAGAAGACTATACACATTAAGCCCTGGTGGCCATGACATGAAAGAAGTAGATAAATTCCCCCAAGACTATTCTGATCTTCAACATGGTAAAAAGTGACCTATAACTTCAGAAGCCACTGGAGCCAACAGTGACTGATTGAACAAGGTTGTGGAAAAGATTGGTGTGAAATAAATGGAGCCTACCTGAAAAAAAATACGTTCATTGGGTATGGCAGGAGGTTCCATAGATTAAACTAAACTAAACCAGCAACACAAAACAAAAATGAAAATCCCTCCACAAACTCACTCTTTTGCACTATCTCAACCACCATACTTAATAGGCTGCATCTTATTTATCCATGTTTGCTTTCTCTTGAGAACATAAACAATTTGAGGGAAGAGAATATGTTCTCACCATGTTTGGTTCACAGTAGGCCCTCAATAAAGGTTTATTAAATGAAAAATTAACACTTAAATAATTTTTTAAAAGAAAAGAACAATGAATTCAAGAGGTATAAATTTCCACTGTCTTATCATCTACCATTTCTTCCTACTCTGTCACAAATAAATTAAGAAAATCTTTGAAAATTCAGTGTTTCAGTGCCTACAATGTGACCACTAGAGTTCTATCTGGTTCTACTCTGGAAGACAAACAGCAACAAAGCATGCAGAAGCAAAGCCAAAAACACATTCTGCTTGCAATTTCAGAGACAGTCTGAATATATTCCATCAACGAGTCTCACTGTGATGATTCGGAGATGTTTTGGATGGGATTGGTGAGAGGGAAAAAAAAAAATTAGTGCCCTAAGGATTTTCACATGTTAATGTTTTAAAATTCGAGGTGATACACGAGTGTTTGCTATATTCTCTGTATTCTTCTGTATTTTAAATTGTTCACAGTGAATAAAAAGGACATTTTAAGGAATGGGGGCCTATTAGAGGATAAATAATTGCTGATATAAATTTACTACTACAGTCTAATCATTCATGATTTACCAAGGAATTGTCTTTTAGGGCACAAATATGGAAGACTCCTTTCTGTTTCTTCTTATTAGGTGTGATGATGTAGTGCCAAGGATGGCCTCCAATCTGAAAAGCATTCTCCAGGGACGACACCTCAAAGAGTAATGGTGGAGTGTCTGTGGAGACGGCCAAAAGGAATTTATTAGCTTTTCCATTCTGGTGGCTTTTGACCATTTGTTAACTGAATTCAACCTTTTTTTGTATATATCATCTATGTATTACCATTAATGAAAAGTTATTATGCTCAAAGAAATAAGATACAATCAGGAAAGAAGTTTATTGTTAAGAAAAGAGAGAGCTTAGTATGAAACAAATATTGGGGTGTAAGTCAACTTTCTAGACATCTATTTTCAGGGTAAGTATCTGTGGTCTGCAGGTGAGCAGAGATAAAAAGTGGGTTGAAGGTCCTTATAAAGGCAAAAAATGACAAAGTATACTTAATGAAAGCAGGTAGCATTGACTGAGCATCCTCTATGTACAAGACTCTGGGTAGATATTATTTCTAACTCTCATAACAATCCAGGAAGCTGATTAGGGCTAATAATTCTTGGGTCAGATAATGTGGTGGTTAAGGTGGCAGGATCCTACATGGTCGACTGTGTGGGTTGAGTACTGGGTATGGCAGCTTGAAATACTGCTGTGCCTCTGTTTGTACGTGCCCAAAATCCCAAGAGGAAAATGCAGAGAAAGGGACCATGTGGCTGTTCCCCCCTGGGGAGTGGTTTCTTACTTTCCTTTTCTCTCTCTGGTGAGCACACACACTCTATGGCAAAAGCTAACTAAATAAGTAATTCCTTCAACTGTAAGGAAGAGATCTTCAGTAACCTAGACTAATAGGTATATACTCAGCAAACTTTACAAGATCAGTCTTGTTTAGGGTTTCCACTGAAGTGATATTAGTCACAGTAAATGCAACCACCTAGCATAAGGCTGTCACAATATAAGTTTTATTAAAGGGTAGACGCTACTGCTGGTATTATCATTAGACAAATAAACATTATCAGAGATATGCAGTCTGTCTCTTTCGGAAACTGACACCATAAAAATAAATTTTTGTTGGTGCTTCTTAGTCTTTGATCACCATTTTTAATAGAGCATTAGATATCCATTCATATACACATAAGTGGAAGGTACTGCAGTTTTAGAAGACCAGAATTCCTTTTGAGCAGCCCTTGAGAAATGGTCTATCGGACAGGTGACTAATCTATGACTCCCTTAATTACCTAACTTGAGAGTTTAATTTTGGTTTATGAGGTCAAATTAGTAGGGGTTTCTCTTAGCAAGACTTCTCTTGTAAGAGTCATATGTTATATATAGAAGGATGTATACTATCAGGCCTCTTCATAAGGATAATTTACTACATAGAAGAGAATGAATAATGAAAAGTGGTTCATAGGGCCAGTCAATGGCATGGTGGTCAGGGCAGCTGGATCCTACACAGTAGGCTGTGAGGGTCAAGTCTCACACCAGGCAGCTTGGAGGTCACATTGGGCACATGTGTGTTCATGCCCAGGGTTCTGAGAGGAGGGAGAGGTGCAGAAGGGACTGCAGTGTGGCCATCCTCCATAGAGAATGCTTTCTCTCTCTTTCTCTCTGGCAAGAATACATGCCCTCTGGCAAATTTAAAAAAGAGTGGGGGTTCACAAACTCAGTTTTGAGGAGAAAGAAAAGATAGGTATAAACATATCAAATATATTTAAGCTTATGTTTTAACTTTTTTTTTTTTTGAGAGTTTTTTGCTATAGAGTGAGTGTGCTCACCAGAAAGACAGAAAAACAGAGAGAGAGAAAGCGAGAAATCACTCCCCAGGAGGATGGCCATGCCGCAATCCCTTCTCCTCCATTCTCCTCTCGGGATCTTGGGCATGCACGCACACGCGCCCAGTGTGAGTTTAAGCCACTGGGTCCAGGACTCGAACCGTGGTTGGCTACATGGGAGTCCAGAGACATAGCCATTACGCTAACTGCTGGCCCCATAACTTTTTTTTTTTTAAGAGAAATTTTTGCTATATCATGCATGTACTAGCCAGAGAAACAGAGAGAGACACAGAGACAGAAAGCAAGAAATTACTCCCGGGGAGGATGGCCATGCTGCAATCCCTTCTCCATTCTTTTCTTGGGATTTTGGGCACACATGCACATACACCCAGCCTGAGTTTCAAGTGGCTGGGTCCAGGACTTGTACTGTGGTCGACTATGTGGGAATCCAGTGACATAACCATTACGCCATTTGCTAGTCCTGTGTTTTAACTTTTTAAGAATAGGGCAATATCCTTAGCAAATACAGGTCATTTTTAAGGAATAAGAAAAAGATGAAAATTTCAATAGAAAAATGGGCAAAAGGCACACATTGGTTAAATTAATAAAGAAATACAAATATCATATGTGATAATATGGTAACTACCAAATAATGGTGGATGAGGAAAAGAAATAGTATAAAAAGTTAAACTACAGAGTTTGAATTTGGGATTAAAATTTAATTAGGTATGCTAAAGAGAATCTAAAGTAGGCATCCAAAATTTAAAACAAATGCATGCAAGCAGTTGTATTTCTAAGAGTAATCTTTCTCAGTGGTTACTAAAATGGCCCCAATGTAGCAAAACTCTGCCCACCACAATTCAGAATGGTCCCATTAACCTCCCTCCCAAACTTGACCCCAAATTCTTATCTATAAACTTATCCTCAATTAAAATGACCTAGATGTTTTCAGAGAGTAGGTCATTCCATGTTTTGTGGAAAGGAAATTTTAGGATGGTCCTGGACTATCCTGTCATTGCTAGAAAGGATGTTCATGAAGATGTCAAGGAGTAGTGTTAAAAGAATACCAGAAGGGCTGGCAGGTGGCATGGTGGTTAAGCATGGTGGACTTCCACATGGCCAACTGTGATTCAAATCCCAGACCTGGAGGCTTGCTTTTTCACCCCCCGCTCCATCTCTCTCTCTGAAAATATTAAAATAATAATAATAAATAAAGTTAAATAAAATAATTATTAAAAAAAGATTACGAGAGCCAGGAAATGGGGCTTCTATTGGCTACCCCACATTAGTAAGAAAATAACAATTATGATAAATGACTATAGTATGAGTTTGTAAAAGGTCAAATAATGACACTTCAAAGGACAGTTTTAATATGAAATATACAAAATGATTTGCTGTACTGCTTATGAAAGTAGGACTACATAAGATATAATTTTTCTGTAACTTTCAAATGTATCAGGTAATTAACTTTATATGCTTCTTCAATTAAGTTTAAAATATTGTTTTATTTAAAATATTTAGGTATGTGTTAAGCAAAAATACAGGGTACAGAAGAGATCATAAAATACTATATTTGGTGTAAGAAATATGACAATATTGAAGGTATATATGTATACTAATTTGCTTATTTTATAAAAATAAACAACAGAAGGATAAACCAGAAACAAAAAATATACAGTTTTGACCTTTTAACTACATACACATTTTTCAGCTTCAACAATAAAATCTAAAGGGAAAAAACAAACCCCAAGTTGAAAACAAACTGTATCACGTTGATAACCTAATCATACAGAAAATTATTTCAAATTACCTTTTTGAACACAGGACTCTCATAGTACACTTACTGGACTGGATATGAAGGAGAAAAGGAATTGCAGAGAAATTTCAATGTTCACTCCCATACTTCAGTTTTAGTATTAACTGAACAGTGGACTATGATTTTAAGACTATCATATGTATATTATAGGATAAGTTTAATTAAGAATTAAGATGTTAAAAGAGATACTAAAAAAAAAAAAGAAAGAAAGAAAAGGCCTTAAAATAAAGACAACCAACTGCAATGAAAACTAGACTAGATCTTGGTCTCTGTTGCGAGTTGAATGTGTCCCCCTGAAAAGATATGTTGATTCAGGCAATGATTGTTAATTATCACATGAATATTCTTGTACTACTTATAATCACAGAAAATTAAAAGCAACCTAAATGACCAAAGTAGGAAATTCGTTAAATAGATTTTAGGTCACCTATAAAATGGCACATAAATTAAGTTCTTAACACCTTACGGACATATACAGGCACACACACACACAGATACTTTCTGGCGTAGGTGATACAAGCACTACATTTTAAAAGTAACAAAAGATACAATGGGGGCTTCAAAAGTTAATGAATTTCAAAAGTTAATGGGTTTCAAAGGTTTTTTGCACTAAAATAAACTCATATTTAATTCCATTTTTCCACAAACTGTTTGAAGTCCCTTCATATAATGAAACCAAGCGTTCCTTTCATCTGTATTTCCTCAGAGATAATTACTATTTATCAGGATTTGTGTGTTCTTCCTGATATTCCAAGCAATTCTCAAAGCATATGCATATATATACTTTTTTAAAAGAATTATTTTACTTAACTTTATTTATTCATTCATTCATTTATTTATTTCAATTTGACCAGAGAGGGAGAGAGCAAGAGTGAGAGGGTGAGAAGAAGAGAAAGTGAGAAAGCAAGTCACCAGGTCCAGAACCTGAACCATGGTCAGCCATTTGAGAGTCCAACACCCTCAACCACCACACACCACCCGCCAGCCTCCATATATATATATATATATATATATATATATATATACTTTTAACATATGAGTATGTATATTTCACACAAATGAGGCTTTTACACAATTTTTAAATTAATTTTTCGTTTCTTCTTTTTTGTGTGTGCTAGAGGTCCTATATGTATTCTCACCAGGGAGACACAGAGAAAGGGTGAGGGATAAAGCACTTCCCGATGGGGCATAGTCATGTTGGAATCTCTTCTCCATCCTGCTGAGATTTTGGGCACACACACACTTGGCAGATCAAGCTGTGTGGGGCTAGATCCGAACCATGGTCAGCCACGTGAGAATGGGCTCCCTTAACCACCAAACCACAAGGCCAGCCCCAAATGAATCTTTATGTAAATATTTATGTACCCATTTGTTCTCAAGCTGTACAGTTAAAAAAAAGTAATTATATGTGAACTACATAATAGAGCTGACTTTTTAAAAAGTGAGCTATGAAAGAGCATTTACAGTATGATTCTTTTTCATTTTAAACATAGAAACATATACATTATTAGAAAAAAAATGCCAAAGTGATATCAGTTTAAATTTTCTTTCATTTATCTTAATTTCCAAATTTTTCTGTAATCAAAATGAACTGCTTTTATGCTAAGAAAAAGTTATTTCAATTGAAAATAAACACAGCTTTGTACAGATCTTAATGGCATTAAAATAAATCCAGGGAAACAAACAGAATTTCAGTCTCTACAATTTGAAATAAACACTCAAAATTTCCAGTATAACATACTACTTTTCTTACTCCAATGTTCAAAAATCAATGAATTATATCACTTTAAAATGACAATCTCAGGGACCAACAGATGGCATAAAGGCTACGTCACTGGATGCCCATGTAGTCAACCCCAATTCGAGTCCTGGACCTGGCAGCTTAATGACAAGAGCATGTGCGCACATGCCCGAGATTCCGAGAGGAGAATGGAGAAGGGATTGCAGCATGGTCTTTTCCCCCTGTGAGGTGATTTCTTGCTTTTTGTCTCTCTGGTGAATGCATGTACCTGATAGCAAAAATCTCTTTTAAGAAAATGACAATTTCATAGATCATGTTTTCAAACATTATTATTTTACTTTTAAAATGATTATTTTTGACATAGGGCACATGCACTTGCTGGAGAGAGAGAGAGTAATCTGCCTGCTATTACATTACCAGTTAGCAGCAAAGTGCTACTCTTAGTAGTAGACTAAGATGCTGATCCCAAATTCAAGCTTCTACCTTCAGGGACCAAACCACAGCACAATCCTTCTGGCTCTACGTGCTTTGCTTTTATCACACTGTTGTCTTTACTTATTCTCTGTATTTTAATAAGAATACTACCATTTTGAGAAACAGTTTTTACGATAACTCAGTACCACTGATGGCTAGTTTTAAAATTATTTCATAGATTCCTATTAGCTTATTAATTAAATATATGAGGTATTACTGGTGCTGAATTTTCATAAAAGTGCCTAATTCAGCCTTTCTCTGGTATCTAAAAACTTGAGTAATTTTAGAATATTTCATTTGAACTTCATGAATAACTTAAGTGTCTATATTGAATTCTCAACTTTTACAATGTCATATATTGACTAAAAAGTAAATTTTCCATTTCTAACAGTTACATTTTTCCTTTGTTTTTTGATCTGTTAATGATATATTAAATAATAATGGTACAAAATAAATCATCCTATTCTACCTGTATTAGAAAAGCTTACAGTTTCACCTAAAATATATTATTGGATGGAAATAGAAGGAAATGCCCTCAACATGATAAGAAATGAGTCTTAATAATCTAAGAATAAAAATAAACAGATACTAGGAAAATAAATTATATTTTTACTTTTACTTCACTCGTGTGATTTTGATATCTATTTGTAAACAATAAACAATCCTTGGACTCCTCAGATGAATTCTAGCCATGGTTTATTTCTTTTAATATATACCACTATATGTGAGTAGCAATTGATTTCTTTTTCAATAAACTGAATTTGATAAGCTAGTTAAATACAGAACATTTTCACTATAAAGATCTGTGTATAATTTGCTTTGTCAATCATATAGTTTACCAGGAAGTTTTCACTCTATGTTCAGATGAAATGATAAATAGCATTTTCCTTAGGAAACAGTTTTCTTAGAGATGAGTGAATTTCACAGAATTACAAAATATTAGGTTTTAAGGGAGTTAACATAGTACCATCATTTTCCAGATAACGAAATCAAGGATCAGAAAGGTAAAGTGACTTGCCAAAGGTCTGTGCCCAAAAAGGCCCAGCATTCCCAGGGCTTTGGTTGAATGAATAACTGGTAGATTTTTCTTGATGCTTATTTAATAGCAAAGACTATACTGTATAGGAGGAGTAAAATAAATTTGATCTGTAATTAAGTAAGAAAAACATTTGGATGATTACCATTAATAATTATTTATATGACTACTTATTTCTTAAGGTGAAAAAATAGCAGCCGTACCTGTGATTTTAATATTACAAGGAATGCCAAAAGGAGCCTCTCCTACAGTTCCAGTAGTCCCACCCCATCTGCATGCACACCCTAAGTCAAGTTTCTGCTGCATGAACTAAAAACAAAACAAAATAAAAAGGGTGGCTTTAGCGCCTATTTATTTGCTGGCTGGAGAGAAAAAAAATCAAATCATATGTATATGACAGAGAAAATGTCTATTCAAAGGCCTTTCTGTTTACTTTCCCCACCCCTCCCTTAAAGGTTGTTTTTCTGCATTTGTATGGTTTTGTAGAGTTGAAATCCATATGCATGCCCTCTTAATAAAACAAAACAAAACAAAACAAAACCCTATTTCAGTTCAAACCTCAAGCTAGTTATAATAAAGCAAATTTAATTTTTTTCTACCTGTTCAGTGATGGCTTGGAAACTATAGAGTCTGACCAGTCCTGAGCTGTACATCACAATCAGTATTCCATGAGACAAAGTAGCATCTGTAACATTCCCGAAAATCTGGAGGAAAAGGAAGATATCACCTGAGAAAAGACCATAAGGCCAATCCTCTAAGTGTTCACAGTGATTTGTACTTTTTCCTAATATTCAGGACACCACAACAATGCTGCTGCCCAGCATTAAAACTTAATTACGATTTAGCAACTTGAGGATAAGATATTACTAGGGGTGAACAGTAAGCCACTGGAGTTTCAAAGCAAGGCATCAATGCAAATGCAGCACACACCTCTCAAAAATAATTACAGCAGGATTTATTTGCTTTATTGTTTCATCAATATCTACTAATAACAAATCCTGGGCAGATAGCGTAATAGTTATGTCACTGGACTCCCTCTGGAGGGATGGCCACATAGCAATCCCTTCTCCTCCATTGTCCTCTAAGGATTTTAGGCACACACACACACACGCCCAGTGTGAGCTGTAAGCCAGAGGGTCCAGTACTCGAACTGCAGTCGACTACGTGGGAGTCCAGTGACATAATCATTATGCCATCTGCTGGTCCCAAGCCCATTACCCCATGTTTGATTTTTTACCAAATGTGTTAAAAGACTGAACAGAGACAACACAGCCAAGCTGACCTGGAGTAAGGCTTTGACTTATGGTTTGCTCCCTTTCTGTTTTTATTCTGCACTGGATCCTGTCATGATTCTCCATGAAACTCTGGAGAAGAACTTAATTCTGTGCCTGTTTTAATATCTGACAAAAGCCAACATAGGCAAATATTCACAGCAATGAAAGAACAATTAGAAATGAAGTAAAAAATATCAGGTACCATTTCTATTCAAGACAGATTGCTTAATGAAGATTTACTACCTCAATAAATGAAATACATTCTGAGCCTGGCCCTTGGTAGCCTTACTATACACACTAGGTAGAAGATGTACTTCAATCCCAAATAGCCAAAATTAAAACCAAATCCCTCAAATGATTACCTTAGACATATAAAAATAGAAAAATAATTTAAGACTTTGCTAAGTGTTCATTCTTATTGTAAAATGTAATAAGCATTAATTTACTTGCACAAAGAGAACAATTAAATTCCTAAGTTGTGCTCTTTTGGTCATCTTTAGAAGGATAATTATGTTCTGCTTTGATGTTGACTAGCTCATGACATTTATTTTTGGAAGAATTATTTATTTAATTTATTTAGCATTATTATTTTTTAATTTGCTACAGGGCACTGTGTTCACCAGAGCAGAACAATAGTAATGATAGTAAAACCTAAAAGTGAATGAGTTGGAAATTTACATAATAAATTAGGCTTGTTTTACATTATAAAGCAAATTTCAGACCTATATCTTGTAATTAAATTGAGACATTGTGCTGCAGTTTTTTTTTTTACCTTCCGTTAATGATCATTTTAAGAAAAAAATGGGATAGTCCCTCTGAAAAAAATACCTTTGTCATTTCATAAATTTTATAAAATAGTAGTTTGTTAATGACCAAAACTTGAGAGGCATGGAAACATGCAGAGAGATAAAGGGGATAATCAGGCTCTTTTCCAAAGTCAAATGTTCTCACGTATGTTGATATAAAATAACCAGGCCTATGAACGTTCTATAGTCAGGGGAATGTTCCTAAGGAAAACACTTAATCAATAATTATGATTACATCTTATTGTTAATAAAATTAATATTACGATTAAATAGGAAAGAAGTTATTACCTTTTTGTTGATCTCCAGGATCCCTACGAGTGAAAAAGGAAGAACTCGGAACACTGCGAGGTATAGCAAAACAGGTTGTTGAACACCTGCCTGGAAGGAAAGATTAGAATCACAGGCAACTCTCAAACATGCTTTAGACACATTCTGCTGTCAGGAGTTGAAAACATTCATCCTAGCATGCAGCTATGCAGACACAGTCAAGGACTAAAAATATCCATCTACGCAGATTGTAAAGTTACTTACATAGGAAGGCAAACATGTTCAAAATATGTCTAAACCTCAGCCCTTCAGACATACACACACAAAAAAGTCTACAAAAGTAAACATATTAGTAAACAGTCCTTTATTTCTGTAAGCTTATTTCTTTCATGAGTCAGACAGACAGAGAGACTGGTACTCCCAAGAAGGATCTTTATGCCACAATCCACTCCAAGCCTCAACCAGCCAGGATCATGGTACATGCTTAGCATGTACAGGGAGCCTTGGGGGACAAACCCAGGACCTTGCCGTGTGGTAATGCACACTGCTGAGTGCTGCATATCACTGCAACACTGCAGCTGGCTGACAGTGAGCACTCCTTAGCAACAAATGTCATGCATTTGTAATATAAATTGGCCTAACAACAAAGAGCTTAATTGAAAGACATATAGTGAGGCCAACATTTGGCATGCTGGTTAAGGTGCTGGACTCCCACATGGCTGACCAAAGTTTAAGTCCCAGGCATGATGGCTTGAAAATCATGCTGGGCACGTGTGTATGTGCCCAAAATTCTGAGAGGACAATGGAGGAGAAGGGATTGTGGCATGGATATTCCCCCCTCAGGTGGTGATTTCTCACTTTCCCTCCTTGTCCCTGTCTCTATCTCTGGCAAGCACACACACACACATGCCCTATAGCAATATATACATATATCCTAAAAAAAAAAATAAACAGGAAAGACACATAGTTGTTATAGTCATATCATTTGCAGTAGCATTGCATCGCACTGGCACAGCTATATGAAAGAAGAGAAAAATATCCATAATTCCAGTTTGAGTGATTTCTCTGCCTGAAGAGAACAGTTTGCTCACTTTGGAGGATAGGGTCCAGTCAATTTCTTTCCGCTATAAAATAGAAAAATGTCTGTTATACTTCACCAGGACAAGCTCAAGGGAATTTCTTACATTTGTGGTAGGCAAAAGTGTCTGTTCTATCACAGAATGTGATTCAAGAAACCCAAAAGGCTAAAGCATCAAGATCACCAATCAAAACTGCCATAACTATAAGTTAGAAAACAAACAAAAAAAATTAGACAGTGATGTTTAAAGCCCAGGAGATTCTCCCTTTGGATAAATTTTTATTAAACTGAGATCTTCAAGATATAAATGAGATATCCTCCATGTTTCTGAAATGCAAAAGTATAGTTTATATATCCCAACCAAGAGCTACTAGTTGTTGGCTAGAGATCATGGGAAACCAGTTTAAAATGCAGAAATGCTATCAAGACTCGAAATAACACCAGCAAATGATGGTACTTGAAAAACCTGAATAGACAGTATTGTGTATATAAACAGTTCAGAGCCAGTAGATGGCATGAGATTAAGACAGGTACATTCCACATGGCTGACAGTTTGAGTCCCAGACCAAGCTGCTTGAAAAGCATGCTAGATACATGTGTGTGCATGCCCAAAATCCTGAGAGGAGAATGGAGGAGAAGGGATTGCAGTGTGGCCATCCCCCCTGGGGAGTGCTTTCTCATTTTCTCTCTCTTTCCTCATCTATCTGCATCTAGAGAGTGCAATTACCCTACAGCAAAAAACAAACAAACAAAAACAAAAATAAAAACCAGTTCTTGCCCTTCGGGAATTTAAATTCTTAAAATGAAAAGGCACATTAGACAAGGTACTTTTAAAAGTTTATATTTATTTATTTCTTCCACAGGAGAGAGAGAGAGGAGAGGGCATATCTCCAACAGGGTCCTTTTGACACTGCACTCCACCCCTAGCCTCAGCCACTCCTGGATCACGGACAAGCATGTGCCCACCATATGAAGAGAGTCTCTGGTTGAACCAGGAACCTTTCCATGTGGGCTTGCCTCACAGAGCATTGCATTTTACCACTGCCACTCTGTGGCCTCAAGACAAGACACTTTTGGAACTCTCATAAGAAGTTTTGTTGTTGTCTTACACTACTTCACTTTTGTGACTCTTCCTTTACCAATGTGTAGAGGGCAATATAGTGAGTGATGATATAAGGAAAGAAGTATTAATTTGAGAAAGCACTTCTTTTTCTTAGACTGGCATACTCAATAAATCAGGAAAAGGTTGAGGAGATTCTAACAAAAAGCATGCAGTTATGTTATTAATGTGATGGGGCAAGATATGCAAAAAGGGCAGAAAAATATTTAGAGATAACCATGGTTAAAAAAAAATCAAAGTAACCACCAATTTACTTGGCGTTAGTAGGATACAGAAAGAGCAGACAAAGAGCTGAGGGAGGAAAGAAAAGCAGAATTCACTGGCCCAGAATGAATTGACAAGGAAATGCTTGATGTGGTTACCTAAATAAAGTAGTATCAGCAGAAAAAAAAACTACTTAACTTTTAAAAGACACTCTAGAATTCTATATAAAATTTACCTAGTCAGTGTCACAGAAATTTCAAGGGACAGCATGGTAAAGTGCATAAGAACATGTATCTCTGGAGCTAGACTGAGTTTGAGTACAGGTTCTACCACTTACCGGCACTATGGCCTTGGGTAAATTACTTAGTCTCTCTGGGTCTCGGTCTGTAAAATGGGATAATAATACTATCTACTATAAGGGTTGTGCTCAGGGTTAAATGATTTAACACAGGAAAAACACTCAAAATAGTATTTGGCTATTTTGTAATCAAGGATATTGGTGAGAAAAAACTAAAGTAATTCAAAATAAAAATGAAAAAGAGCTAGAACACAAATTCTGCCAAGAACATACAGGAGAAAAGTATGTTTTTGCTAGATGTCCTGGAGTATGAGGAAAAAGAGAAACCTCTAAAAGCAGAGTCTATTAAAAGAAAAAAAAAACTTTTATAATATTTCCCCTTTTATAGTGATCAACAAACTTGCTTAATGCATGTTTGTAGACTTTATAATGTCTTTTAAATCTTGGGTAATTCTTTAAAAAAAAAAAAAAGGGAAAGTGTGTGTGTGTGTGTGTGTGTGTGTGTGTGTGTGTGTGTGTATTTTTAAGTCTACTCCTTTCTCTCCTCCATGAGCAAGAGAGATGGAGAAAAATAAGGTCTCCAGACATGAACCCAAACTCCAATGTGTATCAGCCTCACAGAGCATCGTGTTCTACTGCAGTATTGCCATTAGCCCCTGAAAATCTATTTTAACAGCATGCTTCAGAAAAACGTATTCACCTACCAATTTCTATAGCATGTTTCAGAAATCAAAGACCATTTGTTCTTTTATAACAAATCTGTAGGCAAATTCCTACGGAAACAAATTTTTCACTTCTTGAATATTAAAGAAGTCTACCTGCCGAGCCACCACTGAGCCTTTGTTCTGAGCTGACTTGACTGCAATGACTTCTTGAGGAGTGTCCCAGCTCAAGTATCTTTTAAAAGAATGAAGAGAAGTTTATTCATTTGGGTCAGTTTCCTCTTACTTAAAATAAAAAGAATACAGATATTATATTTTATAAGTGAACGGTTTTTTAGTTATTTATAAAAGCAAAATAGTCCACTGTAAAAAACAAATAGCTAAAAGAATTCCCCTCAGATCCCTATAGAAATATATCCCTATGTCATATATAAGATGATTTCTTAAACACATAAAACTTTAAATGATCTAGAGACTTAATGAATAAAAATTGGTTTTGATCTAAGAGTACACTGAAAAAACAGTATAATCATTTCTGCTTTAAAATGGAAGTTATAAAAAGCATTAAAAATATTACTTTCATATCTTATATGCACATAATCACTCCAAAAACTTATATCTAATTTATAAAACAAATAGTTAAAGTAACTGTTCTTACACTGTACTAAACAGATAATTTAAATGAAATTGACAAGCCTTCAGGAAAATCTAACATAAAGTGCATGCAATATAGGAAATAAGTAATACTACTTATAGAGAGAAAACAGATCATTTTTTAAAATGTTTTTTCCATAGTGCTTGTATGCCTCATTGGAGAGACAGAGACAGTGAGAGGGAAAGTGAAAAATCCACCAACCCCACCCCCACCCCCAGGGATGGCCATGCCACAGTTCTTTCTCCTCTACTCTCTGCCTGGGATTTTGGACATGCACACACATGCACCTGGTCTGAGTTTCAAGCTGCCAGGTCTGGGACCTGAACTGTAGTCAGCCATGTGGGAGTCTAATGCCTCAACCATGCTATCTGCTGGCCTCAAACATAGGTAATTTTTTAAAAGTTTATCTGTCAACTACTTATGAGAAGCACAAAAATAAATGATGGTAGTCTTTTTTTATTTTTGGAGAGGTTTATGCCATAGGGCGTGTGTGCTCGCCAGAAGGATAGAGAGAGACAAAGAGACAGAAAGCAAGAAATCACCCCCTGGGGGATGGCCACACCGCAATCCCTTCTCCTCTATTCTCCTCTCTGGATCTTGGGCGTTGGGGCACGCACGCACCCAGCATGAGCTTAAATCAGCAGGTCTGGGACTCAAACCATGGTCGACTACATGGGAGTCCAGCAACCTAGCCATTATGCTAACTGCTGGTCCCAATGATGGTAGTCTTTATCACCAGCTTCTCAAACATAGTCATTATGGGGGGAAAAAAAAGAGTAGGTTCATACATATATTGGAAAAGTGGGAGAGGAGACTAAATGGGAATGCTTAAAATTTCCTGAACCAGGACCAGCAGATGGCATAGTGGTTATATCACTGGACTCCCATGTAGTGGACCACAGTTTCAATGCTGGACCCAGTGGCTTAAAACTTTTGCCAAGTGTTTGTGTGTGCAAGCTCAAAATCCTGAGAAGAGAACAGAGAAGGGGTTGCAGCATGGCCATCCTCCCTGGCAGGTGAGTTCTTGCTTTCTGTCTCCCTGGAGAGCATATGTGCCCTATGACAAAAATCTCTCTCTCAAAAAAAAATTTCCTTGGGAACCAGCAGTTAGCATAATGGCTATGTCGCTGGACTCCCATGTAGTCGACCGCGGTTCGCGTCCCAGACCCGGTGGCTTAAAACTCACGCCGGGCGCATGTGCGTGCATGCCCAAGATCCCTAGAGGAGAATGGAGGAGAAGGGATTGCAGCGTGACCATCCCCCCTGGGGGGGTGATTTCTTGCTTTCTTTCTCTCTGTCTCTCTCTGTCTGTCTGGTGAACGCAAGTGCCCTATAACAAAAACCTCTCCAAAAAAAAAAAATTTCCTGAACCAGAAGTCTCAAATTATTATGATAAAATCTTGAATAATAAACCACAGCTAATACCTGAATTTACAATAAGAAGCAAGATATATTTTCTCAAGGATATTTCCCGTTGTTGCTGATATTCGAAGTAGCCAATTATGAGCTGTCAGGGCTATGAGTGAGGATTTATAATCTGATGGATTGGGAAGTATTTCCCCCTAAAAGAAAAAAATGAGATGCAAAATGCTTGGTCATTAAAAATTTGCAGTAATTCATGTCTACAGAAAATAGCTAAATATTTAAACAAATAGTCAAATAAGTAAGCCAAAGAAGAAATGTTAAATGCACAAGTAGAAAACTAAGGGAGGGTAAGATTGTGGGTAAGTATTTTAATCATTAACTTACTAATTTATTCAAATAAAGTACTTGAAGAGGATGAAGTAATTTATATTTATCACTAAGTAATCAACAAATGTTAACCAATCATAATAACAATAGCAAAAGCATTAATAATAACGCTGCTGTGATAATGTTAACACTACCAAGTGTTAGTGAAATCATCTACATCACGGCAATTAAAAGTCACTTGCAGGGCCAGTGGGTGGCATGGCGTTTGAGGTGCTGGACTCCCACCCACATGGTTGGCCATGCTTCAGGTCCCAGACCAGGCAGCTTGCTTTCTCACTTTCCCTCTCTCTCTCTCTGTGTCTCTCTCCGGTCAGATAAAATGATAACACATAAAATTTAATAAATATTTCTTTCAAAAAACCCCTAAAATTAAATGCTAAAAAAGATGTTCATATTTGTCCCCTTTTTTGACTTTATTACAAGACTTGTTTTTCATTAGTTGGACATCAAAACAGTAAAGTGCAAATTGCCTCATTATGCACTATAGTTTACTCTCGAACAAAAGCTAGAATCCAGAATCAAGAAGGAACAGAGGATGAACCTGGTTTTAAAGATAACCAACACCACCAAAGAATCACCCCAGAAAAGGGAAAGGATGGCTGCTTGGGTGCTCTTGTCACTAAAGAGCTACCACAAGGTGGAAGTCTAATACAGGAAGACACAGTGAAGCAAAGGTCCCTATTCTGATTTACGGAAGAAAAAGGGAATTATAAGGAGATAGTTAAGAATAGAGAAACTGAAATTATGAATAATATTTAATCCAAAAATTAAATAGAAAATAATAAAGGCACAGTTATTTTATATATGTTCCTACAGATTTATCTTCCCTTTCAAATGTCATGGCAAAAAATTTTTTTAATCTTAACTTTTTTTAACTACTAGGAGTCTTTTTTTTTTTTTTTAGGTTTT